GACGTACATAAAAGGCCAGAGAACGTCACCCTTTGGAACTCCTTGCCACAGGAAGTGGTTGAAACCAGGAATTTAGTACGTTTCAAAAAGGGATTGGACGCTTATGTGGGGAGCAGGAATATCCAGAGGGATCATAATTACAGCTAACGACTGTTCTGGAAGGGTTATTAAACCTCAGGCGCTGGGATTTAAACTGCTCTCTAACTATTAGAGGCCAGGATGGGATTTAATGCGGGGGGCAGATTATCCTCCATCGGACATGGTGGGGTTCTTGCACCTTCCTAGTCTAGTGCTGGCGCTGACCGACTCGATGGAGTAGACTGCCTGTCTGATGCAGTCTGGTGAATTTCAGTGTTCTGTATTCCCCAGGCCCATGACTTCTGATTGGTGCAGAGCACTGGAAAGGCTTCTGCGTGGGTGTGGAGATAGGCTGGAACCTCTCAGCCAAACCCCAGAAACGTCAGGCGTGTCGGGCCATTGGATTAGATCCTGTTGTTTGCCCCCCAATTTTGGTCTGGGCTCTGCCCTTGGATGGTGGGGAAATTGACCGAGATCAGTTGTTCTCATGAGATCTGCCAGGAGTGGCAGAACGCTTAGCTTGCCAGGCAGCCCACTAGAGCGGGTGACCCTGGCTGATCCAAACCTTCAGGCTGGGCCAGCCTCTGACTCTGCCCCAATCCAGCCCCTCAGACGCCCTCCTCTAACCCTCGGCTCCGCTGTCAATACCAAGACTGGCCACTTCCTTCAGAATTTCCAGCCCAAAATTTGCACCCAAACCGGCTTCCCCTTGCCGTGCCTGCATGAAACAGGTGGCTGTTCCATTTACGGAGAAATTTGATACAAAACATAAATGCTGTGGCTGGGGAAAACCCCTGTGACTTTTCCCGTTTTGGCCGTGGCGTTTTTCTCTGTCTGTGACTCACCCCGCAGCAGCGGTTCCTGTGATCCCGCGGGCCTGGACCCGGCTCCCCGCTGCAGGCGTCGCGGGTCTCAGGGCTGCTCAGGTCTGGCTGGGCCAAGCCCAAGCAATACACTGATCCTGTATACCAGGTCGCCATGCACGGAGCCAAGCGCTGGGCCCAGCTCCCTGGGACACTGGGGCTGCCCGAGCTGCTGCTGTGAGGTGAGTGCAGGCGGGGGGGGGGCTTGCTTTCCAGGCCCACCCCCCAGCCTTGCCTCTGCACTGGGCCAGGATTACCATTGGGATGCTGGGGGTGCGAATAGAGCTGCCAGGTGATCTGTCAATAGTAGGGTGCCCCCTGCTGGCCAGTTGGAGAACTGCACCGGAGTGTTTGCAATAGGCTATATTGAGAGAAGAGGATGTCCCTATTTTGGATGAAGTAAGCTGTGCTCTGGGTTTGCAAAACCTCTAGTCTCGGTGGCTTTGGATCTAAATTCTATTTCATCTAAAGTTAAACCATCTCAAAGCTCAGATAAGACGCCGGTTTTGGTAACGGGGATTTCTCTTCTCCCTGCCTCGTGATCCAAGGACAAAGGGGTTTTTTATTCAATGAAACTTCAAGGCGGCCCTTTTAAAATGGACGGCAGGAATAACTTTTTTGGTGCAGTCAGTGGAACTCATTGCCACAAGGTTTCATTGGGGTGGAGAGTTTAGTAGGCTTAAAAGGAGAAGTGGGCGCTTACTTAAATAATAAGAAAATCCAGATTTAGAATAACAACTTAAACATTTGGTGTGGGTTTTTTTGTTTGTTTGTTTTTTTTTAGGAAGGGATATAAAGCCTCATGCTTCAAGGCATATGCCCCAGCCTTTAACTGCGGGGGGGCCGGAGACATCTTCCCCTGGCAGCAGGTTATCCTGTCATGGCCTAATTGAGAGTTTCTTGCACCATCCTCTAAGGCAGCTCATATCGATTCCTAGATTAAGGCCAGAATGAACCGTTATGATGATTTAATAATACTCACATGGGGAGACGGTTTCCGATAGCTGAGGCCTCTTCAGTCTAGCAGAGAAAGGCAGAACGAGATCTGATGGCCGGAAGCTGAAGCTAGGTAGACCCCCACCAGGTACAGGTTTGGGCCGCCTCACGGAGGGATGTGGTGAATCCTCCATCGCTCGAAGTCTTTGACCTTGAATCCGTGACCTCCTGCGTACTGCAGACCGGAGCTTTCCCCCCAGAGGGGGTTGCACTGAGCCTCTCCTTACGGTGGAGCGGCTTTGTGTGTCTTCGAGATTCCAGTCTGGGCTTAGCAGAGGCGGGATCCTGGCCTAGAATGAAACCTGTTCTGATCCAGGCGGAGTTTGGAGATGCCTGGGGCAGATGAGTTGGGGGGTGGGGGGTGAATGCACTGACCCTCTGCACCAGTGACCTTAGCATGACCTTGTCACTCGCCCCGTAACTCTGCCCCTGCTCCAGGTTCTGCCAGTACCAGGCCTTCCTGCAGGTGGTGAAGGAGCTCAATGACTTTGCCGGGCAGAGGGAGGTGGTGGCGGAGAACCTGACGACGCGGATCTGCGTGGAGCTCTCTAAGCATGGCCAGGAGCTCAAGCAGGAGAGGAAATCGGTAACGCTTCCTCCCTCCCTGTCTTCCAGTGCAACTGTCCAGGGCTTAGTAATATCTGGGGCGGGGGGGACGTGGATCCAGCTAAGCCCTGAGCATCCTTTGTAGCCGGGTGACATATGTGGGGTCCCCACTGAGCCTAGAGAGCTTGGGTAATGTACCAGCCAAATGTGCCTCTTTGCAGGACCCAGCCACTAGGGGGAGACAGCCTGCTTCTGCCTTGAAGTAATGTCCCAGGGCCTTTGGCTCAAGTGGCAGAGGAGGGCGCTTTTAGATCCAACGGGACCCAGGTTCAGTCCCTGCAGACGCTGTGTCCCTTGGATGCGAATTTCGGCCAGCTTGCTGTAATGACTGACTCTCGCCCCCTCCGGGAGTTGGGGCCACCGCTGCCTTCTTGGAGGGTTTGCCTGTGGCTGGACATGGGGTCTGTGGGAGCATCGTAGGTGCAATAGCCATGCTGCCTTTGGGGAGCTTTTTTAGAACCTGGGGAACTACCAAAATTGCCGTCCTCCTGGAGAGGAAAAGAGACATGTACATGCCCCGTGGTGCTGCTGTAATACAGCTTATAGAGGTTCAAGAGCGTCCTTGGACTGGGGCTGCCTAAGCGTTACCGTAATGCATCTAATAAATAGCCAGCAGCAGAACATTCTTCATCACAGCCTGAATTTTCAGAAGTGCCCAGTGATTTGGGGCCCCTGAGACTTCTTAAAGGGACCCCAACTTTTTCATCGGGGCAGGGTGCTTGGTGCTGTCTGAAAATCAGGGTCAATTTAAGGAGCCTCAAACTTCCCAAATCTCTAGCCACTTCTGCAAATTCTGGCTGTGAAGAAGAATGTTCTGGTGTTGGCTAATTTTTGAATGGTGCTAGGCGCTGTACGTTATTCGTTGGTAGTGCCTCGCTGCGCTAGGTGCGGTACAAACACAGAACGGAGAGTCGGCTGAAAATCATGAGGTTCCGCTGACGTTTCTCCTCTTTGCAGCACTTCCAGGAGGGCCGGCGAGCCCAGCAGCAGCTAGAAAACTCCTTCAAGCAACTCGAAAATGTGAGTCCTGGGGAACAGGGCCAGCTGTTTCCGTTCTGTTCATGCTCGCGTTGGGCCCGATCCAAGCTCTTTTTGGAGCCGCCGGGAGCTTTTCCATTGACTGCGAGGAAGCTTTGGATGGCGCTTGCCGAGACCCAGCTGCATGGGTCAGCTTGTGCTCCGCAGAGAGCACAGCTGGTGGAAGGAAATGCCTCCAGGAGAATGAAAGGGGCTTTATTCAGAGGAAGTCTAGAACATGTGCGGCAAAACTGTTCTGTGGTTCTAGTGGCTAGGGTGGGGGGAAGGCCGGGAGTCAGGACTCCTGGGTTCTGTTGGTAGCTCCGGGAAGGCAGTGGGCTCTGATGCATTAGACCAGGGGTTCTCAAACATCCTTGCCCCATGACCCCCTTCTGACAACAAAAATTACTACATGACCCCAGGAGGGGGACTGAAGCCTAAGCTCCTCCCTCCCACCCCCAGTTCCACCACCCTGGGTGTAGGGGGGCAAAGCCCGAGTCCCCCGTCAGTGGGGTCCAAAGCCCAAGGGCTTCAGCTCAAGGCAGGGGGCCTGTAACCTGTGCCCCGCCTCCCAGGGCTGAAGCCCTCAGGCTTCTGCTTTGGCCCCAGGTGGTGCGGCTTGGGCTTTGGCCTTGGCCCTGGGCTCCGGCATGTCGAACACCAGCCCTAGCAACCACATTAAAGTGGGGTCGCGACCCACAGCTTGAGAACTGCTGCATTAGACCCATGGGAGGTGCTGGGAGTCAGGACTCCTGGGTTCTGTTTCTAGCTCTGGGAGGGGAGTGGGGTCTAGTGGGTTAGCGGGGGGTTGTGGGGGGGACAGCTGGGAGTCAGGACTCCTGGGTTCCATTCCCACCTCTGCCACACACTCACTCCATGCTTTAGGGCAAGTCCCTTAACCTCCCGCCTTCGCTTCCTCCTCTGTAACGAGGGAGAGTCCCTGAGCCCCCTCCCCTGTGGTTCCCCTGAATTCTGTGGGTGGGAAGCAGCTGTGCGCTCCGGCAAGGTAACGCTGGCTTGTATCCCCCCCCGCCCCCAGAGCAAACGGAAGTTCGAGCGGGACTGCAGGGAGGCGGAGAAAGCCATGCTGGCGGCCGAGAAGCTCGACCAAGACCTCAATGCCACCAAGGCGGACGTGGAGAAGGTCGGAACGCTGCTGTCTCCTTGGCTTGAATCCCTCTAGCGTGGGCCTGTTGGGGACGGGGGAACCATCAGGTGGCATGGGAGGGGGCCCAACAGGATGGAAGCGGGGGGGACCTATTGGGTGAGGTAGAGTCCATGGGTTTTGCTGGCTGCTTTACAGACTGGTATGAAGACCAGGTTTCTGTCCCAAAGAGCTGACCATCCATAACCGACCGCGTTCAAAGAGGCTGCATTAGAGGAAGAGGATGGTGCCGGGGTTCAGGCTTGGGGAGATCTCGGTTCAGTTCCCGGCTCTGCCATAGACCCGCCATGGGTGACCTTGGGCCAGTCACTTCATCTCCGTGCCTCAGTTTCCCTGTCTCTGCGATGGGAGTTTCCGAGGCTGTTCAGGCTAAACTCTCAGGGGCCGTGTCTGCAGCACCTGGCACAATGCAGCCCCCCCACCCCCCAACGGGGGCTGCAATGATGCGTGGGGGGAGTTAGCTGTGTGGTGCAGGGGAGAAGAGCAGATGGGAGGGAGACCCTCCCGGGACCTTGCTATTGCGGATGGGGAGTTGGCCCCCGGCTCAGGGCTTTGACTAGAAGGGATTCCCTGGGCTGGTATCCGGGCCTGTCCGTCTGCGCGCGGGGACGGAGCTGAGCCTGTTGTGACGGTTGCACTAACCCCGGCAGGCGAAGCAGCAGGCCAATCTGCGCAGTCACATGGCGGAGGAGAGCAAGAACGAATACGCCTCCTTCCTGCAGAAATTCAACCGGGACCAGAGCCAGTTCTACTTCCTGGAGATGCCGCAGATCTTCAATGTAAGTCCCTCCCCTTGACTATAAGCCCCTCCCCTTGACTATAAGCTCCTCCCCATCAATATAAGCCGCTCCTACTTAACCTTAGCCCTGCTTCCTCCTTTCTGTCCTTCCCTTCTTTTTCTTTCCCTCTCTATGTCAGTTATACCAGTATAATGATGATGATGATGCCTAGCTCTTATCTGTAGATTTCAAAGCCCTTCATAAAAGGTATCATTATCCCTGTTTTACAGATGGGGAAACTGAGGCATGGAGCGGGAAAGTGATTTTTCCCAAGGTCACCCAGCAGGCCAGTGGCAGAGCGAAGAATAGAACCTAGGTCTCCGAGGCCCCATGCAGTGCTCTAACCACTAGGCCATGTTTTGTTTAGTGTTGACATTGAATTCCGAGCCATGGGCCAGGACTCTGCTGTGCTCGGTGCTGTCTAAACAGAGAACAAGTTGTCGTCGCTGCCCCAGACAGCTTCCAGTCTAAGTAAGAGAATAGCTGGATGGGAATAGAACAGCCTGTGCACTATGGGGAGTTGTGCTGCTTTCACTACACACCTTTTGTGTGTGAATCTTGGGAAGGTCCTGGTCTCGTAGCCTGCGGAACTCACTGCTACAGGATGGCAAAGTACACATGTATTTCTTCCTCATCTACTAAAACTGAAACGTGGAAAATTCAAAACAAACATCCCCTTGCTCTTGTGTTGTGGGAACGGACCTACCTGATCTCCCTTCTCAATCCCACCCATTATTGTGTGGATTTCTAGGGTGTCTCATCCCCAAGATAAACAACCCCAGCCCTTTTCAATCAAACTAACTGCCCCTCCAGCATGAAGGACACCTGGGTCCTATATCTGGCTCTTCTGCTGGCCTGCTGTGTGACTTTAGGTATGTCACTTCCCCGCTCTGTGCCTCAGTTTCCCCATATGTAAAATGGGGATAATGGCACTGACCTCCTTTGTAAAGCGCTGGGAGATCTATGGATAAAGCAGTATATAAGAGCTGCGTAATTAATAATACTCATTAATAATATTGGTAGAGTCTTTTCCAGGCCTTTTATCAGTTTCACTGTTTTCTGCTCCCCGCCCTTTGCAGAAGCTGCAGGAGATGGACGAAAGGCGAACGGTGCGGCTGAAGGAAGGCTACGGCGTCTTCTCCGAGACTGAGCGGCAGGTCATGCCCATCATCGGCAAGTGCCTAGACGGCATGAAGGCAGCGGCCGACTCAGTGAACGAGAAGAACGTGGGTCCTGCTGTCTCCTTAAACTTAGTGCCCTAGGGGTGGAAAGCCCATTGGAGTTGCCATAGCACCTGCCCTCCAATAGGGAGGCAGATGCCCCTAAAGTAGGCGGGGCTAACTGGGTGGGATCCAGCTGTCATAACCTCCCCTCTCCACTAGGGGCCCCAGACCAGCATGGGGGCAGTTTTGCTTTTACTTCACCTGGAGGAGTTAAGTCAATCCAGCCCCAGATCCCAAACCCGGAGGGATTTGTGGGTATTTGTGTCCTAGGGAATGGGAATAAGACCCAGGTGTCCTGACTTCAGCTCACGCTGCTCTAACCACTACACCCACTCCTCTTGCGGACCCAGGGGAGTCAGGACCCTGCGAGGGGAGTGGGGTCGGGGGGGGAGGAGGAGGGCTGAGAGTCAGGACGCCTGGGTCCTATTTGGACTTGTGCCCATGGATAGAATAGGGATTGGCGTCCGGTCTGTAGAGATCAATTCTGGGGAAGAGCCCATTTCAAGGACCCCGGAGCCCGGCCTTGCTGGCGACACGTGGCTTGTGCATGCAAGTTTCTGGGGAGATGAGAACGCTGCAGCGATGAGGAACGGGCGCTGGGGAGGATAGTACCTCTGGTTCTCCCGGCGGTGACGCCCTCCCCCTCGCCCCACCGCCGGCAGGACTCCCAGGTGCTGATCGAGTTACACAAGTCCGGCTTCGAGAGGCCGGGAGACGTGGACTTCGAAGACTTCAGCCAGCCTATCAACCGCACCTCTTCGGACAGCAGCCTGGGGACGCCCCGGGGCACCCTGGATGGCCGGCTGGACCCCCGCCTGCTGGGCAAGAACAAGGGGAAGCGCTGGCTCTTCAGCAAGAAGAATAAGGTAGGAACTGGCAGGGAGGCCCTGGCTCTGGGCGCTGTCCGGGCTGGGGCAGCTCAGCCTGGCTGGAACTTGGAGCGGGACCTTGCGGTCGAAGCACAGAATTGGGAATCAAGATTCCTGGGTTCTAGTCCCATCTCGGGGTGGAGATCAGGACTCCTGGGTTCTATTCCCAGCTCTGGCGGGGGAGGGGGGAGGGGGTGAGTCTAGTGGCTAGGGCAGGGGGGCTGGGAGTCAGGACTCCTGGGTTCCATTCACAGCTCTGGGAGTCCTGACTCCCAACCCCACTCCCCTCCCGGAGTTGTGAATAGCCCCGAGTCCTGATTCCCAGCCCCTGCCCTAACCACTGGCCCCCGCCCCCCCCCACTACCGGTTGGCATGAACCCGTCCATATCTCCTTCCGCCCCTTTGCCCACCCTACTAGCTATGCAGAGGGGCAGGTGGTACCAAGCGCTGGTCCTGGGCCGCATCCCTTATCCACTGTAGATGAACAGCTGCCAAATGCAGTTCTGGGGGCTCCGGGCCTCAGCTGCTGCCCCGCTGGCCTGAGCGCTGCAAAGATGCCCGGGTAGTTAGCAGCCTCCACCCCCCTTCTCTGCGGCGCAGCCCGTCACTCGCTGCAGGCTACGCCACCGTTTGACCCCGGTCTGTGATCGTTCTCCCTGGCTGCATCTCGCTGCCTGTGCATGACGCCGTAAAAGAGCCTTAAGCCCCCGTCTCTCTCGAGCGCTGGACGGGCTGAGACGCTAATAATTAACCCGTTCGGGAGCGCGCGCTCCAAATCAGCCAGCATGAGCCTCTCTCTTTCTGTCTCCTCCACCCCTGGCCCTGCCCGATCCTCTTGTCCTCCATGAGTCACATCCGCCGCACCCCTCCCTCCCGCGCCCCAGGAGAGCTGCCTTGGGAACATGCTGTTCCGACAAGGAATCTTGACCTGGCTTTTACACCAGGTTAGGGCTCTTGGGGCAGGGAGGGGGTGGGTGTTTTTTTGCGTCTTGGTTCTGGGATCCCTGAGTAACTGTGAGGCTGTTTATTAATAACCCGCCCCCCACACACTGCCTGTGGAGTGGGTCAGGATCAGTGATGGCCGTGCTCCGGGCCGGCTCTCTCCTGTGTGGGATCCTTTTCAAAATAAAAAAACCTCAGGCTCCCAACCCGCCCGGTTTAGCGAGAGGCTTGTTAGCAAAAGCAGGTCACAGCCGCATGCGTCTCAGCCCTTTGAAACCCCTCCCAGGGTCACATCTGTGTGGTAGGATTTCTCTTCCGTCCTCCTCCCCCATGTTTACCTGTGTCCTAACCCCCACGTCCTGTCTGTACTGTGCGCAACAGAGATCACCCCCAGATCATCGCACTGCTTAGAGTGGCCACGGCCTTGGGGTTTTTTCACCTTCTTCTGTAGCATGGGGTGTGGGTCGGTTTATCTCAATCAATTCCTTGCCGATGCAGGGCCCCAGGCAGGGGTCCCTCCGATGCTCTGCCTGCGGCATGTTAGTTTCGTCTCCGATGTGCTATAATAGCTGGGCCGCGTTTGGCCTGTTGGCTTTAGTGTGCAGGTGCTGGGTAGGTGACACAGGAGGTTAGACTAAGCCCAGGCCGGAGCCCCGATCCTAACCGCTGATCCGGCTCAGCTCTGCTCCCCCGCCTCACGTCTGTGCTCTGCATGCTCCATCTTCCTCGGCTCCCTCCAGCGTCCACGGCCTGGCTGCATTCGCCCCTTTCCCCTGGTACATCCCGGCCTGCACGGGAGGCTAGCGCAGGCTGCTGCTCTGAGGAAGGGACACGGTTTCTGGAGGAGAAATCCTTGGTGCGGTCAGCTCCCTTCGGCTTTTCTCCCCCTGAGGCTCGTCACAATTTGGGGCGACTGCAGCTGTCTGCACCCCCGTGGTTCCACTCTTGGGTGGTTCCAGCTCCCCGGCTCTCCCCTTTCCGCAGGCAGCCCCGCCTCCCTCTCCCTCCTGCCGGGGGGCGTCCCAGGCTGCATGGTTCCCTGCCTTCGCTGTGCGGTTCCCAGCAAGGACAGCCCCACTGAGAACGGAGGGGTGGCTTCAGATCTGTGTTACGCCTTCATGCTTAAGATAAAGAGAACTACAGAGAGCACCTCTATGACCAATGAGAACCTATACGCCTGCTAGCGAGCTCCCCGGCATCACCCTGCCCGCTGGGTTCCTTTGTGGGTCCTCCGCACTTCGGCTCCAAACAACCCCCCCCCCCCCCCCCCCCCTTAGGAGGCCTCCATCAGCCAAGTCCTTCCAAGGCTCCCTGAGGATCGGGCCCCTCTGTGGACCAGCCCGTTGGCTGGATCAGAAAGAAGGCCCTGAGCTAGCTAAAACCTCAGCTTTCATCCAGATTGTTTCTTGTTGGTCTGTGGGGCTCTAGAGAATCCGGTTTGAACAGGGACATGGATGCTTCCCCAGGCAGCCAAGTGAGTTAATTAGCATTCCCTCCTCCCTTTTAGAGAGGGTACACCCCACGCACACCCGGCCCGGTGCATTTTCCTACCGCCCTCCCCCAGGGTACACCCCACGCACACCTGGCCCCCCACAAGGTATGAACTGTAACGCAGGGAGGTTCAACTTCACTCAGGAAAGTTTCTCTTCCTTCCGTCCGGCTTGTCCAGGATATTAGGGGTTACGGTCGGTCTGTCATAGGGCTGCCCCGTCTCTCTGATCCGGGGGAGCCTTGGGCTGCTGTTAAGTGGAAGATGGTTTGGAGGCCCCATTTGGCCACGCAGTGCATAAAGGGGACTTAATGTGGATGGAGAAGACCCTGTTCAGGGACCTCCCAGGCCAGCACGGAGCTGGCATAAGGGCCTAGCCCCCAGCATATTGGGGACATGGCCAGTGTGATCCGCGCTATGGCCTTTCCCGCTTCCCGGGACCTATGGGAAGCAGAGCGTAAGTTAGAGCAGCCCTCAGGAAGGACGTTGAGCAGGATAAGGGGGCGGGGAAGGGCTGAGTGAAGCCCAATTGGTTAGTAGGCCATGTGCCCCCACCCCCCTCCAGATCCGGTAGGCCAATCAGAGACGGCGGAAGGGGACTCGCAGGTCATGGCAGCCCGTAGAAAAGGAACTGGGCTCTAGTGCTCTGCACGCTGACCCCTGCTACGCCCCAGCCTCAGAGGGTCCAGGATGAGCACCGCTGGTGGGAGGAATAGCTCAGTGGTTTGAGCATTGGCCTGCTAAACCCAGGGTTGTGAGTTCAATCCTTGAGGGGGCCATTTAGGGATCTGGGGCAGAAATCTGTCTGGGGATTGGTCCTGCTTTGAGCAGCGGGTTGGACTAGATGACCTCTTGAGGTCCTTTCCAACCCTGATATTCTATGACTGCAGCGCCCGTCCTGGCTGTGCTGTGCCCATTTCACAGGCACTGCTGGATGGATCAAGTTTTCCCTCCCTCGCCCACTCCAGGGGCAAATTCTTGCTCTAATTGTCTCACGCCTGTTTCATATCCAAGCCGTTTGCTGCTTCACTTCATGCATGCGCTGAAAACTCCTACTACCCGGCAACACGCAGACATCGATGCCCAGTGTCCTGCATCCACCCAGGGCGGGGGGCCGTGGGGAAAACCCGAGGGGTCTCCCCTGTAGGGGAGAACCCAAGCTGTGGAGTTCAGACCGAAATGAGGTTTGGATCTGGGGTTTCTGGCTCTGGGCCCTATTTCCCCTCTGCCAGCAGGAGTATAAAAATAGCATCTTGCCTCTTCTCAGCCCCGGAGCTGGAGCAGCATCGGGGGTAGGGCACATTGTGCCATGCGTCATGCAGGAGTGGGTAAGGAGAGTGACTGGGTCAGGAGGCCCAGGGAACATATGTCCAAGGCAGAGACTTTTAGGGCATCAGTCCCCACCCCCTGATTAGCCATGTGTCCCCTATGAATGCTTCCTGCAGACCCTCACCCTTGTATCCTGCCTTCAGATTTCCCCCCTCCCGCCCCACTCCAGCTGAGGTAGGTGACCTCTGGGGTGATGGTGCATCAGTTACCCCCACTCCCCATAGGGGGAGCTGTTGGGTACATCATGGGGTGCAGGGCACTCAAGAAGGGGCGGGGGAGTTATCACATGGAAGGGACTAATAGCTTGCTGTAAGGGGTGGGGTAGGGGATGGATATCCTCCCCCCACCCTGGCAAGGGTTTGCTAAAGGGGATGAGACCAACTGTCCACACGGAAGCTGGCAGGAATTCAAGCCCCGATCCAGCGAAACGCTTCAAGCACGTGCTTCGCTTCTAAGCCCGGAAGCAGGGTCCTGGGTAGGGTCACCAGTTCTGGATGGACACATTCCTGGAGGTGTCATCACATGCCATAATCTTTAATGAAAGATTCATCTTTAATTCCTGGAGACTCCCGGACAATCCTGGAGGGTTGGCAACCCTAGTCCTGGGCTGTCAGCTCTTTGAGGCAGGGACCGTGTCTTTGCTGTACAGCACCTAGCACAATGGGGTCCTGATCCAGGACTGGGGCTCCCGTAATACACCTAATATTGAAGCCAGTGGACTTTGTTCTCTTGCCTGAAGTGCTTTGCCAGATTGGGGCTTCAGTTGAGCAGGGGAAGGGGTAACGCGGAAAGTTTGCACCCTGAGGAGCTAACACCAGGCACAGGCACTCAGAATGAGGCCCAGAAGCAGGGCAGACCTGGGTGGGAGGGGGTGGGGAGGAGACTGGGGGCTGGAGGGGACAGTTCAGGACTGGAGATGGAAGTGTCTACAATCCCGATATTGTGGTGGAAAGCTGAAATGTTTCTATTTGGAAATGCCTCCCACGGTGCCTTGTGGGAGTTGTTGTTCAGATGCCTCATGCTCCCATTCTCCTCTATGGGCCAGGCTCCTCGGTCAGACTACATCTCCCATGATGAACCTGGGTCTCGATGAAGGGAGGCCGTGCATCATGGGATATGTAGTCTGGCTGGGGCGCTGGGCCCGCAGAAGCAAATGTGGGGTATGAAGCACTCAAACTACAACTCCCATGATGCACCGCAGTGGCACTTCAGAATGGAAATACTTCAGTTTTCAATGAAAAACTGAAATTTCCCGCAGGAAGCACCAAAAACAATTTAATTTTTTTTAAAAGAAAGTTTAATTGAAATTCCAATTTTCAACCTTCCCTAGCTGGGGGGGCCTGTGGACAGGAAGGGGTGCAGGCTGGTCTTGGGGAGGAAGGCTGTGAGAGTGAGATGGGGGTGGGGGGGTATACACGGGCCTGTGGGAGCAAAGCAGCCTCTGCTCTAGCTGTCAAGTGACCTTCATGTTACTTGCCTCCTGCTGTAACATGCCCCCCCTCCCCCAGTCTCCTTACCATCTCCCATGATGCATTATGGTCTCCCCTCTTTGTGAAAGCAGGTGGTGCATCATGGGAGACATGAACAAAGTGCCTCTTTCCCAAGAGAGGAAGGTGGGAGCTGAAAGCCGGGTCCTCGTCTCGGTGTCAAGCTTCCCAGTCACATGGGTGCCAGGAAGGGCCAAGGGTGCAGGGTGGGGCCCGATCTGTGGCAGGCAGGGGCCCGATCCATGGTGCCAGTCACACCCCTGGTGCAGGGTGGGTCCCTAAGCGTTTAAAGCAGGCACATTTCCTAGGGTCTTAGGGGAATTAGGCACCCAAATTCCTGTGACTTCCCATGGGACTCAGGTTCCTTTAGGATCGTTTGAACAATCTTGGCCTTGAAAGGGTTCTGAGCCTATTCCCCTTCCCTTCGCTGCTGGGATCCCCTACGCTTGGGAGACCGACAAAATGGTTGGTGGGCCTTCCCTCCCCTCGCTGCCTCCGGCTGGTGGATTGTGATGGTGCAGCTTGTCCTTATCCCTCTCCCCTTTATTCCCTGTGCTGTGTTGGGTTGGTTTTTTGTGTGCGTGCCTGTTTATTTTCTTACAGAGTTCTCTCCATTGTGTGTCCCCATGTGTTCCGTTATCCCTTTGTCTGTCCCTAGCTCCCGCCCCCTCCCCTCTCCCCAGTGATCTCTGCCCCTCCTCCTTCCTCCTCGTCTGCCACCAACGGACCTCCATCCCCCAAATTCACCCGGGACCCTCTGTCTTACTGTCTGAATGAGATCAATAAGACAGTCAAACCCCGCATCGCCTCCTTCCGCAGCCTCAAACGGGGGGTAAGTTTGTGTCTTGTATTTTGCTTTGTACCAAGCCACGGGAAGTTGCTGCTGTTATGAAGGGCACCTGCAAAGAAAGAAACAGCAGGGCTGTGCAGGAAGGAGGCTTAACGTATCTTTTTTTTTTTTTTTAAGGCCTTTTTGCATCTACTTTGGCTTTCTGGCAACCCCCTCCCGAAAATGGAACTATTCAGAAATGCTACTGTAGTGCCTCCTGGTAGTTGTAGTTCAGGTGCCTCATGAGCCCATTGTCCTCTATGGACCTGGCTCCCTGGTTGGACATCATCTCCCACAATGCACCATGGTGTGCCCTCTCTGTAAGGAGAGGTGGTGCATCATGGGAGATGTAGTCCATCAGGAGCCTAGCTCACAGAGGAGAACAGGGACTTTGGTTGCTTCATGTCCCCGTTCTCCGCTGTGAGCTGGGCTCCTGATGGGACTGCATCTCCCATGATGCACCACCTCCCCTTACAAAGGAGAGGGCACAGCATGGTGCATTATGGGAGATGTTGTCCAACCAGGGAGCCTGGCCCATAGAGGACAATGGGCTCATGAGGCACCTGAACTACACCTCCCAGGAGGCACTACAGTAGCATAGTCATATCTAAAAGCATTGGGTTTCAGGTCTTTGTTTTGTTCAACGAGAACATCAAATCTTTCCGCCCGAAGCAGATGCCTTTCCCCCAAATCCAGGTTTTCCATAAAAATTCAGTTTCCGTGGGAAGTTTCTCCCAGCCCCAGCACGCACCCCAATTATTTCTTTTTACTGGTCACTTCTCAAAGCCCTGGGTTCTCCCTCTTTTCCACGTAGCTCCAGCCTCCCTCGCGTGGTACAGAGGTCAGTGCTTCCGCCTGTTTCAAAAGCATCGGCTCCCCAGACGCGCGCCTTCCTTCCAAACTTCCTAGCCCAGCCCTTCGCCTGCTCCACACAGCACCATATTCCACCTTGTTCTGCCTGTCCGAACCAGGAGCCTTCCCCTTTTGCATCCTCCAGCCAGGAGCATGTGCAGCCTCTGCTCCTGCTCCATATAAAACCCCAAGCCGTCCCTTGCTTTCCAGGCTTCCTTTCTGTCGGCATCCCCTTTTCGGAAACTGCTGTGCCGCATTTGCTGCTTGGGGTACAGACTCTGTGGGAGTGGGGTCAAGCCCCAGTAAACCGCTTCCTGTTCTTAATAAAGCATTGCAAGCCAGGAGACCAAAGACCCAACCCAGCAGCCAATTTCTGATCTCCTCTCCCTCTACCCCTGCCCCCCTCCACCTCCGGTATTCCCAGGAGCACCTCCGCAAACCAGGGCTTGCCCACATGGCTTTCACCCTCCATGCCGCGGGGGGGGGGGCCCTGACTCTGCCAGGCTGAGGGCACGTGGTTATTGTGCCAGGATCCCAGCGTGTTTCGCTTTAAAAAAAAAAAAATCACGGGTGTGCTTGCTTGGTGTTGCCTCCTCACAGGGGTGGAAATCAGTTGCTGGCCAATTGAGTAACTTTGTCCAGTGAAAAAAGTATTACCAGGCCAGACCCACGGTCCAGCGAGTAGCGTCTCGGGCAGCGCCTGACGCTTCCGAGGACCTTTGCTCGGCGTGGGCATGGTTACGTGGAGCTGTAGCACTGCACGCCGCTGTCTGAGGCCCGTCCACCCAGTGACTTGCCGGAGGCCACACGGGTCTCCTGAGTCCCAGCTCAGTGCTGGTTTCCCCCATAGCCGTAACGGCTGGGGCGGATGCCGTGAGCTGTTCCCTCCTCCACAGGCTGAGGGTTCTGCAGCTGGAGAGAACCAGGATCTTAACCCTCCATGCTGCTGGTGGAGGCCGAGATCCGGCCCATGTCGGTTTAAAGCTGCAGGGCCGTGGCTGGTGTCTCCCTGGCCGCTAGGTGCCGAGCTCTCTTCGCGGCACAACCAGAGAGCTCCGGATCCCGGCCACTGCTGCAGAAAGGCATCATGCAACGTCTTGCCCCGGGAGGGGCCCCGTCTCCAAGCGCTGTCGCGATCCTGCGAGGTACCGAGCTCTCCCAATGACCAGTGAAGGTCGAGGAGGCTCAGCGAGATCAGGCCCTTCGAGTGGGGCACACACATTCCCCTGGCGCTGGCCGGCGTCTTGCACGTCAGGGGCAGTGGCTGGCAGCAGCCCCTGCAACCCATAGTGTGAAGGAGTCGGGGTGGGGGGGGAGGCACAGGGGACTGGATTTTGTGGCTGGGGAAGAGGGTCCATATTACGACATGAAGGGAACCGATGTATCCTTTTCTTCCCCTCCCCCCTTCCTGCCGCCAGCCTGTGATCACGGAAGATTTCAGCCACTTGCCGCCAGAACAGAGGAGGAAAAAGTTGCAGCAGAAGATCGAGGAGAGGAACCGGGAGCTGCAGAAGGAAATCGACCAGAGGTACAAGCGCTCGATGCCCTGTAGGCGGTGCCTTTCGGGTGCCTCCTGTCTTCGTTCTCCTCCCCTGGTGGCGGCTCACCTGCTGGACTACATCTCCCATGATGCTCCATGGACTGGGACTCCCACAATGCACCACCCCTCCCTTCTCCAGGCTTTTCAACCCTGAGGGTTTATCCATAGTCTGTAACTCTGGCCTCCTGCTGCAGTGAGTCCTGTAGATTGCGCACAATAGGGAAATGCTATTTCCACATAGTGCGTGCGCTTGATCTGTAATCACTCCTTCAAATAATCATTGTACAGTGAGCCCAACCGAGATGTGCGGCCCCGTTGTGCCAGGTGCTAGACGTGCTTCGTGAGAGCCAGTCCCTGCCCCAATTTGTCTACAGTCTAAATAGACCAGGGTAGGAAGGGAAAACAGGAGGAGGAGAAATGATTTCCCCCAGGTCAGGGGCAAAGTAATGGAAAAGAGACAACTAAAGGGGAGTGTGATTGAGGTCTATAAAATCGTGACGAGTGCAGAGAAAGTGAATAAGGAAGTGTTATTTACCCCCCCTCATAACACAAGAACTAGGGATCACTGGATGAAATTAATAAGCAGCAGGTTTAAAACAAACAAAAGGAAGTACTTCTTCACGCACCGTCAACCTGTGGAACTCCTTGCCAGGGGATGTTGTGAAAGCCAAAACTAAACGGGGTTCAAAAAAAGAACTAGATAAGTTCCTGGAGGATAGATCCATCGATGGCTATTAGCCAAGATGGTCAGGGATACAACCGCATGCTCTGGGCATCCCTAGCCTCTGCTTGCTGGGAGTGGATGACAGGGGTTTAATCACTCGATTACCTGTTCTGTTCATTCCCTCTGAAGCACCTGGTATTGGCCACTGTCGGAAGAGAGGATACTGGGCTAGATGGACCTTTTGTCTGACCCAGTGTGGCCGTTCTGATGTTCTTATGTAACTCCTAGTCCAGTGCTCTGTCTGATAGGAAGCACTCCTTCCCCTTGTTCTCCTCATATGCAGGAGGAAATAAAGGGAGGGAACCAATCAGTTTGCATTCCTACAATTTGCATTCAAATCTCTTTGCCAGAAGGCAGAAATTTTGTGTGCTGTCCCTTTAAATCCCTTCCCCTAACCTTTCCCCCTCCCCTTCCCCACAGAGATGCCCTAAACAAGATGAAGGACGTGTACCAGAAGACGCCCCAGATGGGCGACCCCGCTAGCCTGGAGCCAAAGATCTCTGAGACCCTAAGCAACATCGAGAAGCTGCGCCTAGAAATCCAGAAATACGAGGTAAGGGGGAGGTAGGGGGGGTCACGGGATGGGGCTACCTCTGACACGCTCCCCAGGCCCCTTTGGGAATCCACACATCCGGCTCTGCTCTCCAGCCATCTGTGGCTCCAGACACGCACGATGCCCCATATGTCTGACCAGTCCTTCCTTTGAACCGGTTCAAAGTGCGGTAAATCTATAAGGGAGGTCTTTATCTCCCTCTAGTGGCTGAACCATGTAACAGCGCCTCGCTCTTCTCGAGCGCTTTTCATCCTTGGAGCTCAGCGTTTTACCGACGAGGACAGTGCCATTATCCCCATTTTACAGCAGGGGAAACTGAGGCAAAACACGGGGAAAGTGTCTTGCCCAGACTAACCCAGCAGGCCAGTGTCAGAGCTGGGAATAAAACCTAGATCTCCTGAGTCCCTGGCTAAGTGTTCTATCCACTAGGCCCTGATACTCTGCATTTGTTAAGGCCTCACCTACGCTAGCAAGTGGACTCTAGAAAGCCTGCTCTTAGTGTAGACACAGCTTGTAGTGGCAGAAGAGTGCTTTCAATGGGGTAGCGTATACTGGTTCTCCAAGCGAAATAAGCGACATTGGCAAAAGCATTTGTATATGTCAATAAGAATGTAAAAAAAAAAAAATCACACTCCTAACCGACGATAATATATGGTCAAAATTGTCTGGCCCATCTAGCACAATGATCTCCGCGTCCACACGGTGTCCCTTGGCTTGCTGATGGATTCTAAGTATTTTAGCTCCTTATGTGGCCCCCGTCACTGTCGCATCTGAGCAGCGCACCATCTTGAGTGTATTTATCCTCCCAGGGCAAAGCTGTTATCTTCGTTGTACAGATGGGGAGACTGAGGCACAGAGAAGCTAAGTAACATGCCCAGGGTCACACAGGAAGTCTGTGGCAGAGCAGGGACTTGAACCTGGGACTTAAGTCATAGGCTAGTGCCCAACTGCTGCACCATCCTGCTTCTTTAAGGCATATTGGGGTCCCACTCAGATTAGAAGCTATTTGGGGCAAGGACCAGCGTCTTGTTCTGTGTTCGTACAGCACCTAGCACAGCAGAGACCTGGGCCATGACTGAGGCTCCTAGGCACTACCGTAATACACCTAATAAATAATGTACAGCGCCTAGCACAATGGAGACCTAGGCCATGACTGAGGCACCTAGGGACTGCCACAATATGAATAATATCAAAAGATGAGAGAATATTTTAAACGAGGCAGTGACCCTACAGATAATGATGTCACGACCGCATTGGTTCTCAGGTTAGGTGTCCTTATGATTCAAAGGCTGCTGGTTTGATTTATGAGCGGTTGAGTCATGCCTAAATTATTCTGGGGTGAATCATGTGTGTAACTCCGTGCCCAGTATCGTTTCATTCATAGAAACAGCCTGGGCCTTCGGTCGCTTTCTCTTTCTCAAGCGACGAACTTTACACCAGACAATCCTGTTAAATGGCTCTGCCCAGTTTCCTTATTCGCTAAGGAAGTTACTCTTGGCCACAGGTTTATTTTATGAATGAGTCGGCTGAATGTGCATAGCCTGATAAAAGCACCTTCCCCCGCCCCATTCCTCCAGTGATTCAGACCCTCTTGGGTGTTTCCTGTTCCTACAGGTCATAGCCCATGTCTCGGATACTGGAGTGGGCAGGAATGGGACTGTAGCTAACTGGCTGGGAGGCAGGACTCCTGGGTTCTATTCACAGCTCTGGAGGAAGTGGCAGAGGCCGTGCTAACCTTAACCCTAAACAGGAATATTTTGGGGGGGGCCCCCATCCCCCCTCACCCACCTCCTAAAAATACTAATGATATTTCCATAACAAATATACCAACACACCATGGACTGATACGCTTGTTAAATAAGGTAAATGGTATTTTGGGGGTATTACTAAAGCGGGTCCCCCGTGAGCCATTTGGGGCCCTAAGCAGTTGCTTAGTCTCCTTACATCTAGCACCACCATGGAGGAATGGGGTCTAGTGGTTAGAGCAGGGAGCCAAGACTCCTGGGTTCTGAGCGCTGATTTTGCACTAACTTACACTGGGGGCAGGCCGGGCAAGACAAAATATGGGGAGCCCAAAGACTCTGTGAAGCCTGGAGCAGAACTGAGAATCGGGGTACTTGAGCTGCTCTGAAAAAGCACCTGTCTGCCTGGGTCTGTAGCTATTCTGAGGGCAGGGATGGGGCAAGACCCCATAGGGGGACAGCTGCTAAGGGGCGTGCCCTGCCAGGGCCCTAGGCCTAGGAGCAGAGAAGGAAGCCCCATGTGAACGAAGACGCTTGCCCCCATGTGCGATCCGTCTCTGCTGTGGGGAGGCAGGTATGAAATGCTTGAACCTCTCTCTCTCCCGCGCCTCCCAGTCGTGGCTGGCCGAAGCCGAGAGCAGAATGCTGAGTAACCGGCCGGACAACACCCTGAGATACAGTCGCCACCTGGACCACGCCACCACCCTGAACAACAACGGCTCCCACGAGAAGGGCAGGTGAGGAGGTGAAATGTTCGTCCCCAGGAGCTAGGGGGAGCAGGTGGCCGTAATACCCAGGTGTGGGGGCTGCTGAATCCTCACCCGCATGTGCGGTTTGGGATCTCTGGGCCGGGTGCCATCTGTCTGAATAGAACCCAGGAGTCCTGGCTCCTTAGCCCCCCTGTTCTTATCACTAGATCTTGCACCCCTCCCAGAGTGGGGATTAGAACCCAGGAGTCCCGGCTCTCAGTTCCCCTGCTCTAACCATTAGACCACACTCCTACTTCTGAACAGCCACCCTGGACTCCCTGTGGCTAGAGCTACCCCCAGAAACAGCCGCTCACCCTGTCTCCTCATTGGTCCCTCAGCCCTGACGCCACCCACTCCGACGACAGCCAGGATGCCCTGAACCAGCCGATCTACACGGAGTTTGACGAGGACTTCGAGGAGGACCTGGCCTCGCCCATCGGCACCTGTGTGGCCATGTACCAGTTTGAAGGTACTCGCCCAAGACATTTCTGAGCCAGGTTCCCTGGTTGGACTACATCTCCCATGATTCACCAGGGTCTTGCCCCTCTTTGACTGAGGAAACAGTGCATTATAGGAGTCTTTGGGCCATGGTGCATCATGGGAGATGAAGTCCAGCTTGGGAGCTGGGCCCAGAAAGGAGAATGGGAGTGTGAGGCACCTGAACCATGACTCCCGTGAGGCATCATGGCAGCATTTCCTCATCAAAAGCAGAATATTTTGGGGTAATTTTACAAAAGAAAATTGACACTTCCATGGGAAGCAGATACTTTTTACCTGAAAAATCTCATTTAGTCAAAAACCAATTTTCTGCTGGAAATTTTTCAACCATCCTTAGCCACTTCCCCCTCCCCCACCCCCACGTGACTCGTGTGCAATCAGGATAACAGTCTTACTACAGTTGGCTGCTAACAGAGCTCCTCCTTTTAGGTCATACAGTAGGAACCTATTTTAATACTGAAGGTCTTGAGTTCAAATCCCGCTTAGGGGTTGGAGACTTCACCGCCAAGCAGGCTACATCTCCAAACCCCTGTTCAGTCCACCCCCCTCCCTCCAGGTAGGAGTTTGGCATAAGTCCCCCTTTAACAGCTGCCCGCTGGGATATTTCTTGACTAATGGAGGACAAGGAAGGGTCACTTAGGGTCTGTGCCGTTCACCCATATCTTCCAGGGGAAACTTCCAGCCTCCAGTGGCCTATTGCTGCAGCCAGCTATGTGGATTTGGGGAAGGGGTACAGAGGGTGTGATCCCCCTGGAGTCCTAGAAGCTCTAACATACAGGTCCTCCTATCACAGGGATGGGGGGGAACCTAGCTGAGATCTGAAACAAGTGATTCTTCTAACCCCATTGCCTTGATTTCCCCTACCCCTTTCCTCCCTCCCCATTACCCCAGGTTCCAGCGAAGGCACCATCTCCATGACGGAGGGAGAGGAGCTGAGCCTGATGGAGGAGGACAAAGGCGACGGCTGGACGCGGGTGCGGAGGAGCAAAGGCGGCGAGGGCTACGTGCCAACGTCCTACCTGCGGGTCACCCTGAACTGAGCTCGGGCCTCCCCGCCCGCCTGGAGAGCGGCAGCTGGCTCATGGAGCTGCTAGGGGTGGCGGGGATTGGAGCAACGCTGCTGGAACCTGGGGGTTGGGACTCAGGGGTACAGGCATGGAAGTGGCCTCTGGCCCTGCATAGACAAGTGGCCCTCGTGGGCAAGCAGTGGCGCCCGCTTGCAAAGCACATCGCCTGTGAGGGGAAGGAGAAACCCTTCTGCCCCAGCCCCAGCTCTGTGGAATTTCACATTTCAGCATGGCCTCTCCGCTTATGGGGGAGGTTGCAGTGGGTGCTGGGGGGAGGGATGGACTGGGTTTCTGGCTGCTGCCCCTGCATACTCCATACTGTGCCCCCTCCGTCAGATCCCCTGTGAGTGAGTAACTCAACCTCCCCCTAAAAGCAGCTGCTGCACCCCCTCCCCTGCTCTTAAGCACCTGGGCTACGAACCCCACATTTCCCCCAGCGGTGTGGATGCAATCATCCCTGTGTCCACAAGGGGGCATGGTTCAGATTCCATCCCTCTATGCTCAATGAGGACAGGGTTCCCATACGCGCGCCCCCCCCCCTCCAGTGCAGGGCTCATAGGAACCTGTTATTATTTCCCCCTGTAGCGAGGGGGGGTGCATGAGATCTCTGGGGTGAAGGGAGCTGCACCATCTCCTGCTAGCTTAGGGCAAAGGGATGCAGGGTCCATCAAGGTGTGCTGGGCAGAGCCCATTGGGGGGGGGGGGGAGGCGCTTATGGAATAGAAAGTGTCCTCTGTATCTATTCTTCCATGCTTGTCACCCTGGCATCTGGGCGCCATCCAGGTGCATGTTAAGCAGCATGATAAACCTCAGTCCTGGGTTGGTTGGTTGTTTCCCTCCTGGGATTTGAACCGGGGACCTGTGGCTCCCCACTTAGGCTGGCACCAGCCTGGATGTTAATGGAATAGAGGCGCCAGCCAGCTGGGAGCCCCAACCTCCGTGCGTTCTCTGCCAGGGCCCGCGGGTCTGAATTCACCTGGCCCTGGGTGGGAGTGAGTGCCCGTTACAGCTGCTGCCACCAGCTCCATCATTGGCCGAGCTCCAGCCCACTTCCCCCTCCGCCACTGTGGCCACGACATGCACTTTATTCCCCAGACTCCAGAACTCGCCCAGCCAAGGAAAAAAAGAGCGAAAAGTGCCTGCTGCATCAATGAATCTGTCCCCTGGGGGGCGGGGGAGGCTGATCTCGTTGGTGGGAGCCCAGGGGTCCGAGCTGCAACCAACCCCTTCTGTGTAATAATTTTTTTTTTTTTTTAGAGGACTCTAATATATTAGCTCTTTATACAGTGGCCAATTACTGCTCATTTTAGCCTATGCCTCAGTTAACCTGTAACATACGTGTAAATGTTCCAGTTGTCTTGGCTTCTGCTCACCCTCGGGGGGAGGGAGGGGGCAGATCCTGTCTCCCCTCTGGTTCTGAGAAGTGGGTCTGGGGGTCGCTGGGCCGGAGCCCCTCGAATGTATTTCCACTGCAGCCTGGTGCCTTTTACACTTTATGTAAATAGTTGATTTCCTCACCCCCACCTGTGCAGTTTTTAAGTTTATAAAAACAATACCGACTCTGTGGCACTGAGGCCTGAGTTTGTTTGGGACGTGGGAGGGGAGCAGAGCGGTTCGTCTGTGGTCCGGTCCCACCTAGACCACCCTGCTCTTAGGGAGAGGGGCACGGTTGGTTGTGTATGTTACCGTCATGTCTAGAAGCCCCCCAGCTGAGAGCAGGACCCCACTGTGGTGGCCCGGGCCAGACATCCAGGCCTTGTCTTCACTAAGGCGAGGTCTACACCACAGCCCTATGTCGATATAGGGGGGTTGAAAAATCCACCCCCGTGAGCAGTGCAGTTATACTGACTTAGCCCCCTGTGTACACAGCGCTATGGGGATGGGAGAGTTTCTCCTGTCGACATGGCCACCGCCTCTCGGGGCGGAGGATTAACTACGCTGGCGGGAGCAGATCTGCCGGCAGAGTAGCGTTTTCACTCCAGTACAACAGCGGGGCAGCTGTCCTGTGAAGCCAAACCCTGAGGGATTCGAATACATGGGAATCCTAGAATATCAGGGTTGGAAGGGACCTCAGGAGGTCATCTAATCCAACCCCCTGCTCAAAGCAGGACCAATCCCCAACTAAATCATCCCAGCCAGGGCTTTGTCAAGCCTGACCTTAAAAACCTCTAAGGGTAAAGATTTCACCACCTCCATAGGTAACCCATTCCAGTGCTTCACCACCTTCCTAATATCTAACCTAAACCTCCCCCACTGCAACTTGAGACCATTACTCCTTGTTCTGTCATCTGCTACCACTGAGAACAGTCTAGATCCATCCTCTTTGGAACCCCCTTTCAGGTAGTTGAAAGCAGCTATCAAATCCCCCCTCATTCTTCTCTTCTGCAGACTAAACAATCCCAGTTCCCTCAGCCTCTCCTCATAAGAGGACGACGCTCTAGTGTGGCCGAGGCAGGGTGTAGTTTTCACATGCACTAGCAGGTCCAGTTACAAACTATGGAGCGGCTTAAGGTTTCCTTGAGGCTACGCCCAGTCTTCACTGGAACTTAGCCGTGTATCAGTGCGTTGGCTAACACAAGTTAAGGGCACTTTTTTTTCCTAATGTGCTGGAGGGCCCGGCTGGGGATGTGGTCTGGGAAGTTTTTAAACGCAATGTAGCTAGTTGAGGCCAGCCCTGGTTTTGGAGGGGGTGGTAGAGGGTTGTTCTAGACTACCTCTGTGGAGGTAAATTACCTGTGCCCCTGCTAATGTGATGTACAACCCCTTGTGGGGCTAGCCGGCAGTAGAAATGCATCCTGGTTTTGCAGTGAGGACAGAGCTAAGGAGCGCTCATCCCTGTTTTTCATGTGATTTTAGTCAATAGGTCAATAAAGTGCCATCGCTGGTAATTGGTAACAATGGTCAAGGAGGGTCTGGCTGGAGAATCTTGCCCGCATGCTCGGGGTTCTGCTGATCGCCATATTTGGGGTCGGGAAGGAATTTTCCTCCAGGGTAGATTGGCAGAGGCCCTGGAGGTTTTTCGCCTTCCTCCGCAGCATGGGGCAGGGGTCGCTTGCTGGAGGATTCTCTGCAACTTGAAGTCTTCAAATCATGATTTGGGGACTTCAACAGCTGAGTCAAGGGAGAGAATTATTCCAGGAGTGGGAGGGTCAGCTTTTGTGGCCTGCATCATGCGGGAGGTCAGACTAGATGATCATAATGGTCCCTTCTGACCTTAAAGTCTATGAGTCTATTTGGGGAAACTGAGGCACAGCAGCAGTGACAATCCCCCAGCTGCACAGTGGCAGACCTGCAACTAGAACACAGGTGGCCTCACAGGGTGCTAGTGGGTTTAGAGTAGGGGGAATTGGCCACCAGGACTCCTGGGTTCCGTTAGCAGTGCTAGGCACAGGGGAGAAGCGGGACTGGGAGTCAGGACTCCTGGGTTCTATTCTTAGCTGTGGGAGGGGCCTGGGCTCAAGTAGGTTTGCCTTCCATTGAGAGGAGGAATAGCTCAGCGGCTTGAGCATTGGCCTGCTAAGCCCAGGGTTGTGAGTTCAATCCTTGAGGGATCCATTTGGGGGTCTTGGGATTGGTCCTGCTTTGAGCAGGGGCTTGGACTAGGTGACCTCCTGAGGTCCCTTCCAACCCTGATAGTCTATGATTTTGCTATGTGACCATAGGCCTGTCTTGGTTTCCCCATAAGGGACATGGTACTTTTACTTCCATGTTAGAGGCAACATTTAAACTGCTTTTTTTCTGCTGGAGCAGGGGCCTAGTCATGCTTGTGCTGTCTCCAACCACCCCCCTTCTTACTCCACCGTGGTTGTGGGGAAGAGAGGGGGGCCTCCACGAATGGAATAGCAGTTTAGCTCAGCTGCAGTTTACATTGGCTTATTCAGAGCAGGGGGCTTAAATTCCCACCCTCGCTTCGAGTGGTCCAGCTTCCCCCATAGACAAGGGCTGAGCCTGAGTTCAGAGCGTCCACACAGGGCTAAGCCTCGCTGTAACTACCCTCATTTAACTCCTCACCTTAGGCTCTCCTGGCCATAACCCTCCTGGCCAGCCGCTCCTTGGGGCATTGGACGGGCACCGACTCCAGCTGGTTCCCCTCACGTGAGCATAGACGCGGGGGGGCAGGAAACATGACAGCCTGGCTCGGACCGTTCCCCTCGGGGGTGCGTTGTCTGGTTTCGCTTCCCCACTGCCCTGGGCTGAGGTCGGGGGCCAGGGGGTGGGGGAGGGGACGACACTAAGATGCTTTAGTTAAAGCGCGGCTGACAGCAGAAGCCGAGCATCCTAGTCTAACCCCTGGCCGGCCTCTCCTAGCCTGCACCCCGTCTGCTCCCGCTGCTGCGGCCTGCTTCCTGCCCGAACTGGCTGCAGAACCCAGGGGGTCTCCTGCTGTAACCATTAGGCAATTCTTCATCCCTGGGGCAGAGATAACAGCCCCCTGCCACCCAGACTCAGGGGAGCTCCCCGAATGCATTGAGGGCAGCACAAAACCTGCTCATGGCAGGGGACAAGGGGGCAGGGGCGGAGAGAGACTTTTCACTAAGTCTCCAATAGTCATTGGAAGGGGGCAGGGCGTGGAGTTCTAGCCCTGCTCCTGCTGCACCAGTCCCCGCAGGCTGCAACTCAGCCCCTAGCTGCCTCCCCCACGTAACCTCCAGCCACCCCAGTGACAGGCGCTACCCTTTGCAGCAATTCTCCAAGCCAGCTGGAAGGCTTCGGTTTATTGCTCCAGCCACCTCTCCTCTGCTGGCGGGGGGAAATCCCCCCTGCTCCTCCGCTCCCTTTCACCAGCTCACACCCTCCCACGTTGGCAAAGAGGCGGGGGAAGCTAGAGCTGCAGTGGCATTTTGCATTTAAAAAGCCGTAGGCTCGCGGGTGCAATGGGTCCACCAATCCTTCCCACTCCCGCAAGCTTCTGTACACGGAGCAGCCGCCTCCAGCAGCAAGGCACTGCACTGGCGTAAGCTGCGGAAATCTGTCTCCCCCGTCCTCTGCGGCGGTGGGGCCTGGAAAGCTTTCGGTCTGGGGCTAGTTCCCTTTCCCTCATCCTGCTACTGGCACTGGCTCGTGGAGAGATCTCCAGGCACTGGGGCGCGGTCGCTCCTCCGTCCTGTGCTGACTTGGCGCTGCAAGCCATTGTTCGTGGTCCGTGCCGTGGTGGCGGAGGAAACTCAGGGCTCCGTTTTCCCCGCTGGTTCTAGTTTCTGGGACAGCACCGTGAGGATGGCGTCGAATTTCCTGTAGCGCTCGGCCCGGTCCGCTGCCGCTCCTTTGCTGCCCCAGAATAAGCGGAGCGCGAACTCGGTTTGGAAAGCTTCGAGGAGCTCCGGCGTGGCTTGGAAGCCTAGGGAGAGGAGAGAAGATACCAGGGAAGGGCTGAGAGGTACAGGAGGGCCGGGGCTCTGGTTTGTTCCTTCCTACGCTGTTTGTGTAATCGCAGGCCGGGGTCCTAGGAACTGGCTTCACATACACTGGGGCTACTCAAACCATTTCCATGAAAGCTGGATTTGAGACTATTACTGTTTGGATCTGCCTCGGCTGTGCCTTGTGGGAGTCGGAGTGCAGTGGCTGCATATCCACCACCACCTCTAGGGGCAGGGCTCCCTCATTGGACTACATCTCCCATGATGCACCACAGCATCGCTTCATGGTGCAGTGAAGCAATGGCAGCATGGGAGTCCCAGGTCAGGGGGGCATCATGGGAGATGTAGTCCAGCTGGGGAACCCAGCCCAGAGAAAATGGGGAGTATAATGAGGCAACTGAACTACAACTCCTATGAGGCTCTGGAAACCCTTTAGCCAGCCCCTGACCCACACA